CCAGGTCCAGAGTCTCTTCTTAGATCAGTTCCTTGCTAGCTTACAACCGGAAGACTTTTTGAAGAGGCGAGTGTCTTCTTGTAGACTGATTGGTAGCAGACTGTGGGAATAAACATTAGAACAGAACCTGACATGCACTTAGTATTCGGTAAATATTTGCTCACTGATTTCTTTCTTATCTCTGCAGCTCCAGAAGCGCTTCATCTTGAATCTGCCTACCTTCAGTGTTCGGGTCATTGACAAAAATGGCATCCATAACCTGGAGAACATCACCTTCTCTAAGAAGGGCTCCTAACGTCTCGTCCTTCCTCCCACTCATCAGGGAACTTTTTTGATAGGCTCCTTACAGTTTTTTTCTACCCTTTTGCCGTATACTCTTGATAGATGGTTAATTCAAAATAAAGCTGAAGATAGCTAAATTGAGTTTTCTGGTTTGGTCTCAGTTTACTTAACATCGTGTAGAAAGGAACTAGAAGAAGGGTTATCACCTTGCTGGGATACTCCCTCCCGTTCCATTCCTGTTAATGATCTAAGGGACTCTGCCAGCTCACAGCCCCACACTGTCTCCTTGTCCAGCTTCTTCCATCCAGCTCTTTCCGTCTTTGCTTGTTAGCGTCTTGTTTTCTCTAAAGCATGGGTCTCTTTGCTTTTAAGGTTAAATCGTTTTTTGTTGGCTGGATATGGTGGTGCATGTCATTAATCTCAGCACTTAGAAGTCAGAGGTGGGAGGATCTCTGTGTTTTTGAGGTCAGTGTGGTCTACAGTGTGAGTTCCAGGACAGCCAGGGCTATGTAGAGAGACCTGTCTCAAAAAAAAAAAAAAGCTGGTCAGTAGTAGAGGCAGGTGGATCTCTGTGAGTTTGAGGTCAGCCTGGTCTACAAAGCACTGCAGGACAGCCAGAACTGTTACACAGAGAAGCCCTGTCTTGGGGGGGTGGGGGGAATCTGTTTTGTTTTGAAACACATGTGTGCAATGTGGAGGACAGAGGATACCTTGGGCGATGTCCTCAGCAGCACAGTTGGCCTCACCATGTTTGGTTTATTAAAAAACATGGATTCTAGGGATCAAACTCAGGTCTCATGCTTATGAGGCAAGCGTTTTACCAAGTGAACTATGTCCCAAACCCTTACGGCTTTTCCAGTTGATTAATTAATGTACTTGGGAAATGTGTCTGCAGTGGAGAAACAGCAAGAAAGTATTCCTCCTGTTGTATCTGACCACTTTCTCAGAACATTTCAGCTACTAGTTTCTTACATGTTTCTTTGTTCGTTTGAGACAGGATCTCATGTAGCCCAGGCTGGTCTTGAACTCTATGTAGCTAAGGATGACCTTCAAACCTGTATCCTTTCTTCACTTTGCATGAAGCAGTGGACAGAGGCCTGCTTCACTATGCCCCTTTGTACTTTGGGTGTTGGCAAGGGGATATCAGGGATGGAACTCAGAGGCTTGTGCTGGTAGGCAAGTGCTCAGCACCGAGCTCCATCTTTAATCCTCTTTTTACTTTTTGTTTTGTCGCAAGTGCTTGCTAATTTGCCTAAGATGGCCTTGAACTATGTAACTCGGGCTGGCCTTGAATTTGTGATCCTCCTGCCACAGCTTCACTAGTAGCTAGGATTCTGTGTTTTTACCATCAGGCCCAGCTAGCTTGCTTGCATGCATGCTTTTATTTTTAGTGTATAAGTGTATGGCTGTGTACCATGTTTGAGCCCAGTGCCAGGAAAGGCCATTGGATCCCCTGGGACTGGAGTTTACAGATGGTTTTGAGCCGTTATTTGAGTCCTGGCAGTCAAACCAGGTACAGCCTTTTTCCCATTTTTAAAGATACAAGTATACAAGCTGGGCGTTGGTGGCACACGCCTTTAATTCCAGCACTCGGGAGGCAGAGGCAGGCAGATCTCTATGAGTTCGAGGCCAGCCTGGTCTCCAGTGCGAGTTCCAGGACAGCCTCCAAAACAATACAGAAAAACCCTGTCTCGAAGAAAAAAAAAAAAGATACAAGTATACAGCCAGGTGGTAGTGGCATACACCTTTGATCCTAGTATTTGGGAGGCCAGTCTGGTATACAGAGCAAGTTCCAGGACAGCCAGAACAACACAGAGAAACCCTGTCTTGAAAAACCAAAATTAAATAATCTCATGTGGATCAGTTTTCGGTTTTTCTGAGAGAAGCTTATCCTGTTTCTGAGATTTCTGTCATCATTCATATTTACAATACTGAGTGAAAAACCAGTTCTGGTGTCTTATAGGCTTCCTTATACACTGATGCTAAGTGCTTGATGTAAAAGAATTGGATGGGAAGAGATGAGTCACATCACAAATGATTCTGCCTCCAACATCGTGTGGCGAGGTTTGAAACCTCTGCTAGGTTCCTGGATCTCTAGGTATCTGCCTGAAGAGCTCCACAGGAGTTTCTCATCACCTCTTGGGTGGGGCCCTGCTGAAACATCAGTGTTCTATAAAATGGTTGAAAGAAGACCTACTTCATAGAAGTCTTTAGTATTCTATACAGTGATATAGTGCAGAACCTGGTATTAGGAAATGCTCAATAAACATAATCATAGCTAAACTTGCTCCACAAACAGGACTTAACCAGGAGTGAAAAGCTCACTACCTTTCCATGTACATGTCACCAGACAGCATCATGTAAACTCATAAACCCAGCTGTCTGTCTTCACCCTCTATCTCTTTTTTGAGTTACGAATCAAGATACTCCAACCTCTGCTTTAGAGACCGCATGCACATCAATATGTCTAAAGCTAACCTTACTACCTACCCCACTCCAAACCTATCTAGTCTTTCCTCTTAACAGCTACCTGTGCCGGAAACCTAGGCATTTATTTTTTTTTTTAATGTGTGTGTGTGTTGGGGCTAGAGAAATGGCTCAGTGGTTGAGAGCACTGGCTGCTCTTCCATAGGACCCGGGTTCAATACCCAGCACCCACACAGCAGCTCACAACTGTCTGTAACTCGAGTTCCTGGAGCTCCAACACCCTCACATAGACATGCATGCAGGCAAAACACCAATGTTTGTGTGTGTCAGAGAACATCTTGTAGTTTTCTCTTTCTGCCTTGTCCTGAGGATCAACTCCAGTAGTCAGGTATAATGGCAAGCACCTTTAACTCACTGAACCATCTCACTGGCCCTCGTTTATTTTAAATGAATTGATTTGGGAATAACTAGTTTTACAGACAAGTTACAATGATAACAGTGTAGAGCCTTACTACCCAGTTTCTGCTCACTGTAGTGTCTTACATAACCATGGTACACATTTGTCCAAAGCAAGAAGCTGGCACTGGTCCATTAGTATTAACACTAGCTTTTGTTCAGGTTTCATGTTTTCTTTTTGCCCTTTTTCTGCTCTCTGCAGTCCATGCTACCCACATCGCATCATTTTTTATGTCGCCCTTTATTTTCTTCCTGTCTTCACATAGTAACCAGCTTTTGCCATGTCTGCTGCCTAAATCCCTTTGAATTCTCTGTGTATCTTGGGCTGTCCTGGAACTTGCCAGGTAGACCAGACTGGCCTTGAACTCCCAGTTGTTTGCTTTGGTGTACTAGGTATTGCATAGTACCCAGCCCTCTGAGTTCCCTGGGTTCCTTTCCCTCTTGCTTGTCAGGGTCCGCTTAGTTGGATCCTGAGAAGTTTCTCCTTAACGCCAAAAAAATGTCTCCTTAACCAAAAAAGGAATTAGTGTGACTGCTATAAAGTGAGCGATGAAAAGAACGATTAAAGAGATTGGAGAAGACAGCAAAGTTCAGATCATTGCGTAGTGAGGCCTTTGCATGGAGGTGCACTCGTGAAATCAGACTGGGAGGCCGCTGTTGCAGGCCTGAGGAGGACTGATGGAGAGAAGAGATCAAATAGGACTCCCCATTCCTGGTAGAGGTGGTGCCATTAGCAAAGATGGGACAGGTAGGAGGCAGTCAAGATTGCCATTGAGTCAGGCACCCCATATGGGACCTGAGTTTGAGGTGCTTGTCAGCCCATATGGCACAGACACCAGGGAGACAGAGGATGGCCCAACCTGCAGTTCAGAGCTGTCTAGGCTGAAGGGAGAGGTCTGCAGCATACATGTGGCATAGAAAGCCCCAAATGGAGTGACACTATTTGGGAAACATTGGCCCCGAGAACCAAGATTTAGAAGCCGAGTGGAAAAGGATTGGCAAAGAAGGCGGAATGGGAACTGGCCAGGCCAGGTGAGACGGGGAAAGGCTGGGAATCACACAGCATTTCAGTGCACACGGTGAGGCAAGTTCCAGAACTTGGCTGTTTCAGAGGCCAGCCTGGACTTTGTGAAAAACTGTCCAAAAAATTTTTAGGAGCAATTGTTTGGCTAGTCACATAAAAAAAAGTCTTTAGCTTTTAGGTGATCATTGGTGGCCACGCTGAATAGATTTAAATGGACCAGCGGGGGTGCTATTGAGTCAGGAGGGAGGAAATAGAGGAAGGGGTGTCTTCCAAAAACTTTAACTGCAAAAGAAATAAGCAGGATGTGAGTTTTGCAAGGTGAATCTTAGAATATACGTGCTTTAGGTATGATCTAGTAGATTAAGTAGAGGGAGAGACTAATCAGGAAGGATGTCTCAAGAGTGAAATCCTTCAGAAGATGAGAGCCGAGTCAGCGTTTGCCCAATTCAGACAGTCATCTGTATTCACACTGGCACAGACAGACTACCTACAACCGTGGTAATACACTGCACAGACCAAACACACAGGCCCAGCAAGTCACAATATGTAATATGTGCAGTCTTCACTTGATGCACACACAAGTAGTCATACTGATGTGACAAGGCGTGTAGACTCCTAGCATCAGTACCCACATTCAGAAAACCTACTTACAGTACCTTCTCACCTTACTCAAAGACCTTTGTGAACAAGAGCGCCCCCCATCAATGCCCAGGTGGACTTTTTGGTATGGGAGCAGAAGTCTAAAATGAACCCCCAAATCATTAGGAGAAATAACTGAAGCTGGACAATCTTAGATTTTCAAATGTAATTATATTATACATAAATAAATAGGACGGACAGCAGCAAGTCTGTGATGTACAGCCTGGGCTCAAGTTCTGTGGTTTGTGCTGTACCATCTTTGTTCCTGGGGGCCTCTCCTGCCCCCAGGAGCAGGAAGGATCCAAAGAGCCCACTGGGGCCTCCTGCCAGCCCACATGTCCCCCGGGCTAGACTTCTGGAGTGAAGGTCACTAACTTCTCAGTAGTGCCTCTGGCTTGGGGCACCCACTGCTGCCCAGGCATCTCAGTGGGAAGAGCTCTGTCCCATAAACCACACTTTTCCATGACATTTTCCTGTTGGAGACTTACCAGAAACCTCCTCCTCTGGACCCAACCAGGTCCACTCTGGGTTTCTGGATAAATGTTCTCCCTGGCCTTACTGGAATCCCAGCAAGGCCACCACAGTAGCCAAGGCCTCATCTCAGGCATTGGGAGTTACTTAGTAGGACAAGACAGTTACTTCCGATGCTTGGTGTCCTTCTCTGAAGCCTTGGTTTCTCCATGCCCACTCCCCGCACTGCTTAGAAACATCTTGTCCAGTCCTTTGAGTGACTCTAGCAGGTAGTTCTGGAAGGCAGTGAGGGCAGCACAGATGGCAGGCCCCCCGAAGCCGTGGGTGATGAGGCTGAAGTGTGTCAGACAGCTCTGTACCCCAGGCTCCAGGATGAGTGCTGGGCGGCTATTGCCCAGGGGGGAGCGGTCCTGAGCCATCATGTCTGCAAACTCCTTGCAGATCTGCCTGGTGGGGAAAGAAGAACAGTCAGAGGTTAAAGGACAAGGTTCTAAGCCCAGAGGAGGGCCTACTTGCTGGTTCTTTTGAGACAGGGTTTCTCTATGTAACCCTGGATGTCCTAGAACTATCTATGTAGAAGACCAGGCTGGCCTCAAACTCAGGGATCCACCTGCCTCTGCATTCCAAATGCTGGGATTAAAAGCGTAGATCACTTCACCCAACAATTTACTGGATTCTTTATTTACACTATTGACCTTTCTGACAACCTACAAGTAACAATGGTACCATTTTGCACAAAATGGAAACTGACTTTCACAGAAGTTCACTTAGCAGCTCAGTGCTACACACTTATGAACAACACATGCTGACACCCTAATCTCTCTCCCTTGGATGCCCTGTCTCCAGAGTGCAACTCAGCTGCTTATTCCCTTAAACTTCCTACAATCTCTTCTTCCACCCCAAACACAGCACTTCACAGAACCTTGTCTGTGAAATTAGAGAAAAGCTCAAAATCTGCCTTGCATAACTAATACAGCAGCAAATATTCCTAGATCAATATCATGTATACTATGTGCCATTTTATATCATCCAACAAATCTATAGCATTATCCTCTTCATGTGGTTCCAGACAGATCCAGCCCATTCCTTTGTGTATCATATATGTGACTCAGGCCAGAGGATCCATCATCACTCATCTTTGTGTCTGGCCATGTGTCTTAGACAAACCAAGGTCCCAAGAGCACTTGATGCAAGAGCTGACTCATATTCATGAATGAAGTGGGCTCCGTCTGGACAGGCTCCTCTATCACAGGAGACTTCCAGGACTCTGTACTGAGTGGTCCTATGAGTCTGGATCCTTTGCTGCCTAAAGTAGGAAAGCCCCACGTAAGAGGCACAGTTGTGATTTGAAGGCCGAACCCACAAAGGTCAGCTGGACTAGAAGTTCGAGTGGTCCAGACTGTGAGGTCCTCCAAGGCATCTTCAGCCTGCAGAAGATGGTTCTGAGCTCTCAGTCTCTTCCATCTCAGTCCTCCCACCTCTCTTCTGACTTCCAAATGAATGTTTATAGCCTTCTGGATCTTACATATTGAAATCTTTCCTGAGATAAGAAGATAGAGCCTTTGGGAGGTGATGAGGTCGTGGGGATAGAACCCTACAGACCAGCGATTCTCAACCTTCCTAACACTGAGGCCCTTTTAATACAGATCTCATGCTTTGGTTACCCCCCACCATAAAATTATTTCATGGCAACTTCATATCTGTAATTTTGCTACTATGAATTGTGATATAAATAGCTGATAGGCAGGCTAGCTGATGCATGAACCTCTGATGGGGTTGTGACCCACAGGTTGAGAGCCACTTGCTATAGGTGTTACTGGTTCCTCTATGCTCCTCCACCATGTGGAGAGCACAGCAGCATCAAGTGCTAGCTGTATGTTAGAAAGCAGGCCCTCGTCGGGCGTTGGTGGCGCATGCCTTTAATCCCAGCACTCGGGAGGCAGAGGCAGGTGGACCTCTGTGAGTTCGAGACCAAACCTGGTCTACTGAGCGAGTTCCAGGAGAGGCTCCAAAACAATACAGAGAAACCCTGTCTCGAAAAAACAAAAAACAAAAAGAAAGAAAGAAAGCAGGAGCTGTCTTGATCTTGAACAGCCTCCAGAACCATGAGAAATGAGCTTCTACCTGGCTTAGGGTATTTTATTATAGCAACCTCGGGGTAAGATGAGAAGACCTGAAGTGGCCGCATGTGGTCAGTTCTGGGGGAAGTGGCAGTGGGACCTGCCGAGGGGTCAGGTATGGCCTGAGGATTTCGGGAGAAAGGTCACAGAAGCAGAATAACCCCTGTGGACTCATGCCAGGGCCTGGGCTGGTCATGCCACGGGTTCGTGTAGGTATGCACCCACACATGGGCTGCAAGCTGGTATCTGACACTGCTTTTTAATGTATGCACATAATAAATATATTCACTTATGATGTCAGTGTGTGCCCTTGGGAACTTGTGGGAGTGTTCATAAAAGTCCAAATGTGATGAACATGCTACTAAAGATATCTACAAATATCCATGTGTGCCTATATGGCATGTGCAAGTGTTACCATGTAAACTTCAACAAGAAATCTAGCTGCCATGTATGGTACCATATGTACTGTATAAACATGCCTGTAGTCATAAGTAGTATCCTAGGTCTGACATGTGTGTCTGCATTGCATCCATGTTTGCCATGCACAGTGCCTCACTCACTTGGCAGCCAGCAGCATGCTCTTGCGGCTGTGCAGTTCCCCAGGGTCAGCATGCTGTCGGCACAGGTACTCAGCAGCTGCTTTGGCTGGAAACTCAGTCTCACAAACATAGCCGAAGTCCCGAGCCAGGTGCACAGCTTCTCCTGGGGAAAGAGGAGCTGTTACTAGGTGTACCTCTGAGACCAGAGCCTAGTCTTGAACTTTTTTTTTCTTTTCTTTTCTTTTTTTTTTTTTTTTTTTTGAGACAGGGTTTCTCTGTGCCTTTGGAGGCTGTCCTGGAACTCCCTCTGTAGACCAGGCTGGCCTCGAACTCACAGAGATCCTCCTGCCTCTGCTTCCCAAGTGCTGGGATTAAAAGTGTGCACCACCAACGCCCAGCTAGTTTTGAACTTCTTATCCCCTGGCTAAGGAGCATCTGCTTCTGGAGACACTTTCTCTGGTTTCTCTTCTCAGTTCCAGCTTCATGCCCTTCACCCTCGGCTCAGACATGGACCTGGGACCAATGTGTATCCCAGAACCGGAGTCCAGAGTCACCAACCTCCAGGGAAGAGGGATGCACCCCTCACCTACTTTCCATGTCCAAACACTGGCCACTTGCCCTCCCGCCACACACCCCCAAGTAGTTGTACTTTGTGTGCACACATATGCACAGACACATAAACAAAAAGGATTAGTTTCAGAATTTCCCACAGATACCAAAATAAATGGGTACCGAAATCCCTTACATGAAATTTATGCATGGCATTTGCATATAAACCTACTTACATCCCCCTGTAATGTTACAAATTGTCTCTTGGTGACTTAGAATACCTAATACCATTTAGATGCTATGTATGTACATAGCTATATGCACTATTGGTAATAAGGACCAAAAATGTCTATATGTGTTCAGCACAGGGGCAACTTTTTCAAATATTTTGAACCATGCATGGGTGGTTAAATCCTCAGATGTGCTGACTGTCCACATGTATCATGCACATACTTCTTTATACATGACACACTGAATACATGCACAGGTACAGCAATGATCACAGACATAACTAAACAATACCCTCCTACATTAGGAAGTCTCACTAGATGACATGTCCCTTCACATTCATATGCATAGTCTTCAGGCCTTACTCACCTTCCACCAGTGAGGTCAGCAGAGTCACATTGGCTGCCTTCCGACGGCCAGCTGGCAGGTTGAGCCCAATCTTCTCCAGACGTTCCCGCAGACACCGGCCCCCATTCTTGGACTTTGCCCTTAACGTACACAGACAGAGACATACACGTAACTATGAAGATGAGAGAGCAGCCTACAGGTTAGGCAGCACCAAAGGACCTTCCTTGTTCCCTATACCAGCCCCTGTTGAGGCTTGGGGGTAGCCTTGGGGGTCTCTGAGCAAATCCCAACCTCTTCTGACCTCTCTGTTGTGCAGTCAGGGTTGGAATAAGGAGCATCACCCCACTTTAGGAATCTTCCCCTCTCCAGTCCTCTCAATAGAAGGGGCATCCCAGTGTGGGAGGACAGGGTAGCATCTGAGGGTCCTTCTTCCCCACCTTAGCGCACTTTCTGGGGACACATAAAACTGTACAGACATGGCAAACACAAGGAAACACAACTATGCACAAAGTCAGTGACATATACACAGATGAACCCACCCTCAGTGTCTCCAAGAACAGGAAGACACATAGATAACATCAGAGACACACAGACACGAACGCCAAGGAGCACGCAGAGACACGTGCACATCAGGACCCTGGAGGTTAGGACAGACTCCCTGGGACTTAACACAGGTTCACATAGGATATTCAGAGACCAAGAGTAAGAGGATAGCCTCTAACTGCACAAATGTGCCCCATCCCCACATACACACAGAGGTACACACATGCAAACAACTAGCTGCATAGAAAAAAGAAAAGAAAAAATGTATGAGAGAGGAATAAATAAAAAAAGAAGCCAGGCTGGGGTGGTAATGCACGCCTTTAATTTCAGCACTCTGGGGGCAGACGCAGGAGAATCTCTGTGAATTCAAGGCCAGCCTGGTCTATAGAGCGAGTTCCAGGAAAGCCAGGGCTACACAGATAAACTGTCTCAAAAAAGCAAAGGAAAGAAAGAAAGGGAAGAAGAAAGAAAGAAAGAAAGAAAGAAAGGAAGGAAGGAAGGAAGGAAGGAAGGAGGGAGGGAAGGAGGGAGGGAAGAAAGAAGGAAGGAAGAGAAAGAAAAACAGAAAGGAAGAACTGCAGTGCACATGCAATCGCACATGTATGTGCAGAGGACCTACTGTATGGCACACATTCCCATCTAACACAGAACCTCACCCTGGTAGAAACACACTCTTGCCCATCCCCATCCCCTACCACACGTGCACATGCAGTCCTTAGATGATTACACCTTATCCCTGAAGCAGATCCCCTTCCCAGGCACGAGAACATGCACAAAGAAAACCATGGCCCACTATGGCCCACCATGGCCCACCATGGCCCACCAGACTGCCTACTCCGTACCAACATGGCCTGTGCTGCCTGCCTGGGGAAGACAGAGCCACTCTTCCCAGAACCAGCCCTGTCCACTCTGCTTAGTGTAGAGGAATCTTTTCCTTGGTACTCACACTTCCTTCTCTGCCCCTACTCAGTCTCAGACCCAACAATTTAAGGGAGGTGCTGGGGACCTCGACCTGTCCACGCCTCCTTCCCGACCATGTACAAACAATCTTCAGTCCCCGGGCACTGCTCTATCAGAGACACGGCAGTGGGGATGATGTGAGGGCCCGGTGTGACGTCCCGCAGAGACTGGAGATTTTGACTGGGGTGCTGTGTAGGGTTGTGGGGCTGGCCTTCCTACCTTCGGAGGACACCCCCCAGGAGGGAGGCGTTGAGGCACTCCGGAGGTGAGAGTCGTCGCTGCACCTCCCCCACGGTCACCTTGTACTTGGATGTTGAGCTGAGCAACGACAAGCGGCCAGGCACGGAGCAGAAGACCTCGCTGGGGTTGCTGATGCCGCCAACCAGGCTGTCTTTGGCCAGTGAGAGGGTGGAGAGGCTGCCGGCTTTGGAGGAAATGGGGACTGTGGAGCAGAAGCAAGGGAAGAGAGAGCATGGGACACTGAGTCAGCCGCCACAGGCCAGGCATCAGTCAGCTTTGGTGCAGGCAGACTGACTCACCAGCTGTGTGTGTATGGTGAGTGATTCCAACACGTTCCAGAGGGAGCGGGGGTCTATAAGGGGAGAAACTGAGGCACAGTGAGACAAAAGTGGCAGGCTCAACTGAACTGGTAGGCACAGCCCTGAACCCAGAGCTGTCTGCTTCTTGCCCTGGTATCCCCTTTCTGAGTCCTGCTGGTTCCCTCTTAAAGCCTGGCATCAGCCAGGTGTTGACATCATCAGAGAAAAAGAGGGACATAAGGAAATGGAATCTAAGATGAGGTGGGATTCCTGAGTCACTGTGACAGGGCTGGGAAATCACGCAGACTCCCAAGTTCCCTTCTCTAGTATGAATCTCATCCTCCCGTCCTGGGGGTTAGGGCCCTGCCAGGTTCGAAAGAGGAATAAGGATCTAAATAATAAGGGTCTACATGCCCCCAGAACACCTTCTCCTACATGTTCTCTGTTTAGGGCAAGGAGGGGAATCAGGATTTTCTAAACTCTTGCCTCAGAAAGGAAGTTCTCCATTGGATACATCTTCCTTTGTTTGTTTGTTTTTGTTTTTCAAGACAAGGTGTTTCTCTGTGGCTTTGAAGGCTGTCTTGTAGACCAAGCTGGTCTCGAACTCACAGAGATTCACCTGCCTCTACCTCCCGAGTGCTGGTATTAAAGACGTATGCCACCAACACCCAGACCATCTTCCTTTTTTTTTTTTAATTATTTTTATTTTATACTCATTGCTATTTTGCCATGGGTGTTGGATCCCCTGGAACTGGAATTAGAGACAGTTGTGAACTGCCATATGGATGCTGGGAATAGAACTCAGGTCCTCTGGAAGAGTAGTCATCTCTCCAGCCCCTCCCTTCTTTTTTTTAAGATTTATTTATTGATTTATTATGTATACAACATCCTGCCTCCATGCCTGTCTGCACACCAGAAGAGGGCACCAGATTTCATTACAGATGGTTGTGAGCCACCATGTGGTTGCTGGGAATTGAACTTACGTCCTCTGGAAGAGCAGCCAGTGCTCTTAACCTCTGAGCCATCTCTCCAGCCCCCAGCCCCTCCCTTCTTAATTACAGGGAAAGGAAGGGGCCAGGCACAAGCTTCTTTAGAGGTTTCTTGTTTTTTGTTTTGTTTTGTTTTGTTTATTCATTCAAGAAAATGAGGCCTTGCTAGAGAAGGCCTGTGTGTGGTGAGAGCAGAAGCCAGTTGGGAGTCTGGACTGCTGCACTAACACTCAGTACTGCATGCATACAGCGTATACCTCAGCCCTCGAACCTGCAGGACAGTCCATGATGGGGGTTCCCTTGTTCCCATTCTACAGGTGGGGAGACTGAAGCCCAGAAAGGTGAAATAGTGAGCCTGAGAGCATCTAGCTGGTAGACAGAACCAGCAGCAAACCCAGGACCAGGGTCTCAAAGGCAGGGCGCTGAGCCTTCCCACTGTTGAGAAAATACTTTCCAAGCACCCTCAAACCAAGACGTCCTAGACCTCAAGTATAGAGATTAAAGAGAACCTGATCCCAAGTTGGCAAAGCCCCAACCATTTCCCTCCCTGGAGGACCATTCCCATCTGGCCACTCAGCCAGAAATCTCTGTAATACCTCTAGTCATCTTTTTTTTTTTTCAAGGCAGGGTTTCCCTGTTTTGCTTTGGAGCCTGTCCTGACACTCACTCTGTAGAAGAGGCTGGCCTTGAACTCACAGAGATCCACCTGCCTCTGCCTCTCAAGTGTTGTGATTAAAAGCTTGTGCCACCACTGCCCATCCTCCTAGTCTTCTCTTAATTGCCAGACCCCACACAGGACCATGTCCTGTGGCTTCCATTCTTAACCTACCTGAGAAGCAGGCTGTCCTCTTCCGCACACAGACACTTACTTTTCACCTGAATTTCTGTGCAGCCTTTGCTCTGGTCCCCCTGCCCTAGTCTAGAGGGTCTTTCTGATCCATGGATCACTCCATAGCCTGCCTTCCCCAGTGCCTGACTAGCTTCCTAAGAATCAAATCCTACCTGATAACCAGATAGGATGATACTCTCTATCAACAAGGGCCAATCACACCCCATAAACTCCTTCTGGGCAGCTCTGTAGAGCATCCCTGTTCTCCATATCCCCAGGTTAAGGAAGAAACTGAAAGTTCAGAGGTCAGAATGACATCATCCACTGAGCAGAAGTGGGTCCGGGACTCTGGCCACTGCTCCCGAAGATCACATCCCTGATCTATCTTTGCCTCCTTTACCCTCCTTAGTGTCCTGGCTCCCGCCTCCTTTTCTGCCTCTTGCCTGGTGTAGTTGGGGTTTTCTGTTTATTTGTTTGTTTGTCTGTTTGTGTTTGTTTGGTTGGTTTTTTTCTCTATACTCTTTTGGCTCTTTGCTCTTTGGGGGGCCTGCCACCCAGCCCCCAAATAATCACACAGAGACTTCTCCTTTCTTATGAATACCTGACTTTAGCTTGTTTCTAGCCAGCTTTCTTAACTTAAATTTTCCCATATACCTTTTGCCTCTGGACTTTTTTTTTTAAAGATTTATTTATTTATTACAAACACAACACCCTGCCCCCATGTATGTCTACACATCAGAAGAGGGCACCAGATCTCATTACAGATGGTTGTGAGCCACCATGTGGTTGCTGGGAATTGAACTCATGACCTCTGGAAGAGCAGTCAGTGCTCTTAACCTCTGAGCCATCTCTCCAGCCCCCGCCTCTGGACTTTATCGTTCTCTGTTCTATATACATTACTTCTTTTTTGTTTGTTTGTTTGTTTTTGTTTTTTTTTCGAGACAGGGTTTCTCTGTATTGCTTTGGAGGCTGTCATGGAACTTGCTCTGTAGACCAGGCTTGGTCTCGAACTCCCAGAGATCCGCCTGCCTCTGCCTCCCGAGTGCTGGGATTAAAGGCGTGCACCACCAACGCCTGGCCTATACATTACTTCTTACTCTATGATTTGCTGTGTAGCTGAGTGACTGGCCCCTGACTTCCTGTTCTCCATTTTTTTTTGTTCTCCCTCTTCTCTTTTTTCTATTTATTTTTCCTCTATTTATTCTCTCTGCCTGGCAGCCCCACCTATCCCTCTCCTGCCTATTAGCCATTCAGCTCTTTATTCGACCATCAGGTATTTTAGATAGGCAAAGTTAACACAGCATCACAGAGTTAAACAAGTGCAGCATAAAAGAATGCAACACGTTGCTGTGGGATAATGCTTCTGTACACTGAGAAATGTAGTCTTCTCATTGGTTAATACTAAAACTGATCTATAGGAACATAATTTAGGCCACAGCATTAATAAGTAATGAGCAGAACAGTGGTGGCACACACTTTTAATTCCAGAACTTCTGAGGCAGAAGCAGGCAGATCTCCGAGTTCAAGGCCAGCCTGGTCTACAGAGTAAGTTCCAGGAGAGCCAGGGCTACACACGGAAATCCCGTCTCAAACAAACAAACAAAGTAATGAGGGGCTAGAGAGATGGCTCAGTGGTTAAGAGCACTGGCTGCTCTTCCAGAGGACACTGAGTTCAATTCCCAGCACCCACATGGCAGCTCACAACTCTCTGTAACTCTAGTTCTAAGGGATCTGACACTTTCACACCAATGCACATAAAATACAGTTAAATAAATTATTAACAAATAAATAAATCATTAATGAGATATATTACATTCTTTCTTTGTATATAGTCTTCAAAATCCAATGTGCAGTTTATACACACAGCCCACCTCCATTTGGCCTGTCACTTTTCAAATACCCACAACTTTATGCTATAGTGAATGGCACAGCCCTAGACTTCAAAAGGTGACTTCATAAGTTACCCCCACGAGTAAGGAGATGTAGGATCAGGAGAGACGCTCGCCTGGAGCAGGCAACTGCCTAGAACCTATAGTCAGATCAATGTACTCTCCAGGACACAGACAAAATTTTCTGCTGTTCGAGCCCAGCCTGCTGTACTCAGCCTCAGCTTCAACAACATCTTGTGGGCGGAGCTTCCTGCCCTGCTTCCACTGCAGCCCCTTGCAAACCCAGGGCGCGTCCTTGCCTGTGTCCACAGCTGTATTATTATCAGCTAGGAGTCTGGGGGAGGGGAACCTTGGCACAGGTAGCCATCAGTGGACGTGGGATAAGTGCGTGAAGCAAGGGCTCTTAGAACTCCTGGGACCATAATGGCCACCATGCAAGTGTCCTATTTCTCCCAGTCTGGAAGATCTAACCCTGGCGTTCACAAATACTAAGCAAACACTTTGCCATTGACGTATATTCTCACTTACCCAGGTATTTATTTATTTTAAAAAAGTCCTCACTAAGTTACTCAGTCTCCTATGCCACAAAGCCTGGCAGGTGTTGTACGTCTTTGTTATTGTGTGTTCGCACCTACATATGTGTGTCACGGCATGCGTGTGGACATCAGAGGCCAGCTTTCAGGAACTGGTTCTGCCCTTTCTAGGGACTGAACTCACATCAGAGGTTTAGAAGAAGGCACCTTTACCTGCTGAGCCATCCTGATTATCTGTCTGTCTGTCTGTCTGTCTGTCTATATCTATCTATCTATCTATCTATCTATCTATCTATCTATCTGAGATAGGGTCTCACTATATTGCTCTGGATAGCCTGGAACTTGATATGTAGACCAGGCTGGCCTTGAAATTACAGAGGTCCACCTGTCTCTGAGTGCTGGGATTAAAGGTGTGTGCCACTACCCCTGCAATCCTGATTGATTTTTGGTTTTTGAGACAGGGTTTCTCTGTATTGTTTTGGAGGCTGTCCTGGAACTCGCTTGGTAGACCAGGCTAGCCTCAGACTCACAGAGATCCGCCTGCTTCTGCCTCCCGAGTGCTGGGATTAAAGGTGTGCGCTACTACTGCTCAGCCTGTATAATGTAAATCTTAAAAGAAACAAAGGCCCAGGACTGTGGATGTGACTTAGTCGCAGAACTTTG